ATAAATGGTCAAAGGATATGAAAAGGCAGTTTTCAGATGAAGAAATTAAAGCTATCTATAGTTATATGAAAAAATGCTCTAAATCACTATTGATTAGAGAAATGCAAATCAAAACAACTTTGAGGTACCACATCACACTTATCAGGTTGGCTAACATGACAAAACAGGAAAATGATAAATGTTGGAGAAGCTGTGGGAAAATTGGAACATTAATACATTGTTGGTGGAGTTGTGAACTGATCCAACCATTTTGGAGAACAATTTGGAACTATCCCCAAATGGCTATAAAATTGTGCATACCCCTTGACCCAGCAATGCCACTTCTAGGTCTGTATCCCAAAGAGATCATAAAAATGGGAAAGAACCCACATGTACAAAAATATTTATAGCAGCTCTTTCTGTGGTGACAAAGAATTAGAAATTGATGGGATGCTCATCAATTGGAGAATGGAGTCTGAATGCAGATCAAAGTATACTATTTGCTCTCTTTTTTTGGTCTTGTTTCTTCTTTCTTGTGGTTGTTCCCATTCATTCTAATTCTTCTTTACATCATGACTAATGCGAAAATATGTTTAATATGAATATAAGTAGAGGGTATATTAGATTGCACGCTGTCTTGCGGAGGGAGGCATGTAGGGAAGGGGAGAAAATTTAAAACTCAAAAACTTATGGAAATGAATGTTGAAAACTAAAAATAAATTAATAAAAAATTATTTTAAAAAACCAGAGGCTCTTTTTTTAAACCTTTGTTTATATCCCCTGCACACAACATAATGCATAATAGGCGCTCAATAAATGCTAGTCGACTAATAATAAGAATAATAACAACAAAAAGCTAGCATTTACTAAGCATCTACCGTGTGACAGGAATTGAGCTAAGTACTTCACAAATACAACCTAATCTGATCTTCATAACAACCCTGTGAGGTAGGGGCTATTATTATCCCATTTTATTGTTGAAGAAAAATGCAATGACCAACCATGATTTCAGAGGACTAATGATGAAGTGTTGGATTTGACGCAGAATGAAACATATGTTTTTGGCTGTGGTACATGTGAAAATTTGTTTTGCTTGACTAACTGGTACAAGAATTTGTTTCTTTTCTTTTCTTTTCTTTTAAGTAGGTAGGAGGAAGATAAAATAAATGCTTAATAGAAAATAAAAGTTTTTTTTAAAGGAAGAGGAGAGCTACACCTAACAAATAAACATTACTTTTATAATGATTCTTTGGACCCAAGTATTGAAAGCTCCCTTCACTGAATTAAGGCTAGATTAGATAAGAATCTGAGGAAAATGACAACACAACTCTGAGGAAATGTTTAAAACTGAAATCAATTTACCTCACTTCCTTCAGGAGTAAACTATCCACCTTCCCTGTTTATTATATTGCTTTATCTCACTGAGACTTACAGAATAGTTGACAAAGATGTTTTTTTCTGGGTTATGCTCTATGGAGGAAGCAACATACTAGAAGAAACTGAACAATTTCCAGTGGAAATTCTTGTTAAGGTCAAGCCCTAAGACGAGGTTTTCTTTTTCACAGTCTACAAAACTGCCTTGATTAAAGATTGCATGGATGAATGCTACATTCTAATTCAAGTTCTTCTACCAACTTCTCCTTTGATTTGAAAATCTTTCTGTGACACTTTTCTAGACTGTAAAATACTGATAATATCGCTTCATGGGATTCACTGAGCTAATGCCTGTAAGTCAAGAACATTCTTAATTGAAAGACACTCTTACAAAAATATGAAATGATATTATTCTTTTAGGATAGGTAACTTTCACTCCTATTAAATGTTGTTCTCTTTATTGGGAACTTCTGAAATCTCAAAGCCTTAATGTATCAATAACAAGCTGCGCACAAAGGTTTTGTCAAAATATTTCCTCTCCCCCATAATACAAGCCACTGTACATCATGGTTGCTGCATTTCAGTAATCAATTTTTTGATACATATTGCATCTATGCTCTAATCTTTTGTTTAAATCAGTACCAAGAAAATAAGGAAAAGGGACACATTATTTATCAAATATTTTAAAACATTAGTTTAAGGCAGAGGTTATTTACTTCCCATTTGTCATAGACTCTATGACAGTCTGATGAAGGCTATGGATCCCAGGTTGCAAACCTGGGTGTCATCCTCAACTCCTCACTCATTCAACCAACCTTTTCAAACTGTCACCAAATTTGTTATTTCTGTCTTCAAGTCCACTTTCTCTGTACTCACACAGTCATCCTTCTAATTGGCTGCCCCACCTCAAGCTTTTCTCCACTCCACTCCATTCTCTATGCAGCTGACAAAGTGATTTTCCTAAGGATTATATCTGATCACATCCCTTTCTCAACTCAATAAACTTGAGTGGGCCATTATTGCTTTTAGAATCAAACAGGAAATCTTTTGTTTGGCATGTAAAGCTTTTCACAAGAACCTGGCTACTTTTCTCTGTTCTTAGCCTTAAATTTTACTGTGCTCCATTACCCAAGCACATTGGTTGACTTGCTTTTCCTTGCACATGACATCCCAGATTCCATTTTTCATGCCTTTTTACTGGTTACTCCAGTATTCTAGCTGTCAGGGACACTTTCCTTCTTTACCCCTATATTTCTTAGAATCCTTGGTTCCAAGACTCAGCTCAAATTCTACCTTGTGCTGCAGGCCTTTCCTAATCTTTTCCTAACCAGTTATTATTACTCTATATTTAAGAGACATCGTGGTAAGATATAAAACTCCCTGGAGGAGAGGGAAGGAGGTTGAGAGAGGGGGTTAAAACATTTTGCTTTGATCAATTAACTATATTATTAGCTAATCTTTTGCTACCGCTCAGAGAAAAGCAAGAATAGGATAAATGTTTGGAAAAACACTTTTAAGGTAGATAGGCTATAACTACAAACTTTGTCTATTTGTTTCACTTACAAAGAGCAAATGCTTAATACTTGCTGACTAATTCATAATTTTACTAAGCCACTCAAAATCACTTGCTGGTCTCTAGACTAAAAACTGACCTTTCTAAGGGCTGGGCCTCCTTCTTCCCTCATGTTGTTTCCTGCACGGTGGCTAGACACAACTCTGGGGGCTCAAATGCCAAATATGACAGGCACAAGACATGGGGCTGAATGGTTAGGAATCAACACTATAAAAGATTCTCCCCCTTTAGATCTTAAAAACCCCCCCAAAACCCAACAACTGTTATTTCCCCTCTCATAATTTTCCCTCACTGATTCTTTATTTTGCTCCCCAAAGTGGCACATCCAAATCTCTTTTCTCCTCAGTCTACACCTTTGCATTCCCTTCGTCTTAGCATTGTACTTTACCTCCTACTTTACTGAGAAAATAACAGACTTCTTACCATAAGATCTCCCTTCTCCCCAATTCTATGCCTCAATTTCCCATCATCACACCCCATTTTCTCTTCCATTGTTCCAGACTCTGAGGAAGAGGTGGGCCTTCTCCTTGATATGATCAACATGTGATATTACATTACACCCTCTCCGTATGACCTTGATCTCATATCCTATGGCCTCTCATGTTAGATACTCAGGGCCTAGAATCAAATCCCTGCTCTGTCACTTACTACTTATATGCCTTTGGGTAAGTCACTTCTAATCTATTCTCCTAATTTCATTTTCTTCATCTGCAAAATAAGGGGAGGGGCAGACTAGATGATCACTGAAACTTCTTCTAGCCCTAATATACCATAAGATACTAGTCAAGGTAATTACATGGAGACACAGATAAAGCGAAGTCTTCTGGGAGCTTGTCGCTTCAAACATCCTGCTTATATTTCTCTCCCTTTTTATTTCTGCCTCTTAGTTTCCTTGAAGCCTCAGTTTAAAATACCACCTTCTGCAAGAAGTTTTGTCTGGTTCCAGATGTTCTCCAATTTATCAAATAAATATATACACGTCTACACAGACAGATACATATCTTGTTTGCACATAGTTGTCTGCATGCTGTCTCCCCCTGTTAGAATGTGAACTCCTTAAGAGCTGGGCCTGTTTTTACCTTTCTTTGGATCTCCAGCCCTTAACACAGTGCCTGGCACACAGCAAGCAGGTGCTAAATAAATGATGTTGACCTGACTCTCATTTTCTCTTTCTTTATTGGAAATATGCCCCTACTTTCTAAATCCTTCAAAAAATAAAAACAAAACCCAACCAAATAAAAAACTTCACTTGATCCCCAAATCCCCTCTAACTATTTACTTATCTCTATCCTTCCCTTCACAGTCAAATGCCTAGAAAAGCAACATCTACTCATTGCTTCTGTTTCTTGCTCCAGCTCTTCGCAATATAGCTCCCCACATTATCACTAAACTGAAACTGCTCTCTCCAAGACTATCAATGATCTATTAATTACTAATCCAATGCCTTTTCTCAGGCTACATACTTCTTGACCTCTTTGAAGCTTTTAAAAATACTCACCGCCTTTTCTGGACAAGCTCCTCTCCCGGAGTTTTCACCTAACAGTTCCACAATTTCCTCATACAAAGTGTTATGATCTATGTCCTATCCTTGAAACACTCATGTATCACCAGGGTTCTCTCCTAGGCCCTCCCTTCTTCTTTTCAGCATCCTGAGTTCAATCTCTGACATCTTTTCTGAGCATCAGTCCCTTATCACCAACAGCTGATGCAAAATGAACCAAAAAAATCTCAAACAAATCTCATTACACTTTCTGCCAAGTCTAGCCTTTTCAGTCAGTCAATAAACATTTCTTAAGCACCTACTTAAGTGCTAAATGCTAAGAATTAGTTGTTATTGTTTGTCCTTCATATTGGAAGAGGATTGATGACACCATGGCATTGGGATCAATGTTCCATAAGTATTTTTCACATAAGTATCTTCAACTGTGGCTGACCAGTCCAATACAAGCCAGTGCTGGGAAGATTCTACATAGGTCAGGCCCAAAGAGTCCATCTGAACATTAGGATGAAGATGTCGGTAGATTTGCCTATCTCACATTTCCTTTGTGTGACTGAGATTCTGCTTTGCTCACAGAGCACAGAATCTTCTTTGATATGACACATCATGCTGAGTGGTCCTGTGCCATCATCTCCCACGGCTCACAATCAATTTCTTCTGAGAGACCTTGAGACTTTCCTTGTACTACTTCTTCTGACCTCTGGGTGAGCACTTGCCTTGTGTGAGTTCTCTGTAAAATAGTCTTTTAGGCAAACATGTTTGGCATTCAGGCTATGTGGCCAGCCCATTGGAGTCGCACTCTCTGCAGAAGAGTTTGAATGCTTGGCAGTTCAGATTGAGAAATGACCTGTGTCTGGTACTTTATCTTGCCAGGTAATCTTCAGAATCTTCCTAAAGCAATTCAAATGGCAGCAGTTCAATTTTCTAGCAACTTGCTGGTGGACTGTCCAGGTTTCACAGGCATACAACAATGAAATCAGCACAATGGCTCTGTAGACCTTCATTTGGGTATGTAGTCTAATTACCCTAATACCTCTTCTCTCCCACACTTTCCTTCAGAGCCTCTCAAATGATAAGCTAGTTGTGGCAATGTATTACATCAACCTCATCATCTATCTGAACTTCCCTGGTAAGTGAACTTATCCATAGCATTCAAAATGTCTCTACTGGTGTAACCAATGGTTCCACACATGGATGGCCTGGTGCTGGCAGTGGAAACCTTTGTTTTCTTGGTGTTGATTGTCAGGCCCAAATTAGCACAAACAGTAGAGAATTATTTATACTCTGTTGAGTCTCAGCCTCAAAGACTCCATTACATTAAGTGCACAATCAGCTGTGAACAAAAAGTCAAGTGCCAACTCTCCTCTTACTCTTGGCTTGTAGCCTTTCAAATTAAATAATTTACTATCAGTGCAGTAGCTGACCTTGATGCCATTTTAGTCCTTATTGAAAGTGTCTGACAACATCTCAGAAAACATCATGCTCAAAAGCACAAAACTCCACTTCACTCTACTGGTCAGCATGAGAGCAATGTCCTTTATCCAGAACCCATGCAAGTATGCCATAGTTAAACTGGCATACAATACTAATGAACTTCTCCAGGCAACCAAATTTCACCATGATCTTCCACAAGCCCCTAGATATCAAAGGCCTTGGTCAGGCCTGGAGATAAAAAGATAAGCAGGAGACAGGTCCTGACTTCACTATCTAGTAGGGTAGGACCCCATACTGTGTCATGAAGAGTCAGAAATGACTGAACAAGAAGGAATGAATGCTATTTCTGTCAAATATTTAGGTGCTATGGTGACAAGTCCTAAGCAAATAACCAAAGGAATGGCACTAATGCTGAGATGACAGAATGACAGCCATAGACAATATAATCAACTTGGCTCTATCACACAAAATTCATTTCTCAATTCCTCTAACTTTTAGGATAGCCTTAACATCAAGAACTAATTTTAATAACACAGTTTTGGAAAGCATTATACAAGGTACCTCCCTATCCCAATTTAGATGAAGAAAAGCCCTATTATGTTGCTCAAAAAAAAGTTCCTTCTGTGTCACAATGTGACATGCTCAGAGCCTTGTTACAAGTACAGCTAGCTCATCAGGAAGCCAAATAGGGACACTGAAGAAAGCCCATAAATACCGACATCAATTTTGCATGTGGAATCTACAAATCTTGGACAACTCCTTTATAATTAAAACTGCCCAAAATGTGAGCTGAATTTCTTTACTTAGTCTCTGGACATACCTATGCACTTAGGTAAAAAAAGGACTTAACTTCTAGTGACATTGTCACTAGTATGAGAACTAAAATAAAGTTAAGGAAGAGGGTCACAGTAAAAACTGAAATACTGAAGCTCTGAAACCTCTACACAGTCTATTGGCTGTTAGGTCTTTCCAAGTTCCACTGGCTCCTTGGAAAATTTGTGTCATATTCTCCAAGGAGTTAACAGTATGCAACCATTAATATTTATAAATAAATTGCACTGATTTCTCTCAGTACAGACGGAAAATGATCCCAGGTTAACTTAGAGAAGAAGTGCAAGAAAGTAGACTTATTTTGTGTTCTTAAAATGTGGTTTTTGGGGCAGCTAGGTGGCGCAGTGGACAGAGCACCGGCCCTGGATTCAGGAGGACCTGAGTTCAAATGTGGCCTCAGACACATAACACTAGCTGTGTGACCCTGGTCAAGTCACTTAACCCCATTGCCTAGCCAAAAAAACCCCCAAAAAACAAAAACAAAAACAAAATGTGATTTTTAAAAATTATATGATGCCAAACTACAAGTTTAATTTCTGATTCGGAATGCGGACATTATTTTATGAACTCACTATGATCTGAGAATTGGTTCTGGAAGATCAATAAGAAAGCAGTTGACTTAGAATTGTTAAACCCTGTACCTTTTGAAGATCAATAAGCACTTCAATCAACAAGCATTTATAAAGTGCCTACTCTGCACCATGCACTATGCTAAGCACTGGATCTTAAAATTTCTTGAAAATGAGTGGTAAAAGGAATAGCAGAAATTATCAAATTCAATCTGTTGATCACCTAGGATTTTCTTTCCACTGACAGAGGCACAATGGCAAAGAAAAAGAAAATTTTAGGAGTAACCTCAAGCAATCTATTCCTGTTTTTAAAGACCTAAGCTATAATGAAAAGACAAAGATAGCCACATGTCCTATTTTTAAAATATGTGAAGGAATGAAGATTCTGCCACTTTCTTGTCTCAGTAATATTTTCAGGCAGGTTTTCCTTATGTCCAACAGAACTTTCTCTTACTAGACTTGGGTGATCAGCTTAAGAAATAAATAATGGCTACTCTATATAATTCTCAAATAACTCTCTTAAATTCTGCTTAAAAAACTTCTAAAAAGATTTTCTACCATTTAGTTAAATTCATCCTTTGTTTCTTTTCATCCTCCTTTTTTAAAAGAAAAAAAAAGCTTCTTTAAAAAATGTTTTGTAGGTATATTTAAGCTTACCACAAAATTTGTTCCTGAGGAGAGTACATATTATATCAATTTTTTACAACTCATCATTATTTTGTGCCTATTAGAGGATTCTGTCATTTCTAATTCATATCCTTTTCTCATTCTGAATACCCATCTTATAATTTGTATCTGTATCTGGATTTTCATATGTCAAGCTTAGAGAATGTGAGAACTGGCAGAAATAGTCTGGTTCAAGTCCGTTAGTTCATACAGGCAGAAACTGAGCATATTTGTTTATAGTAAGACATCTGTATTCTGTTCTGTTTCAGGTGGACATCAGGCAGTAATGGAATTGAAGTCTCTAAGACTTGAGTTTAAATCCCGACTCAGATGCTTATTAGCTGTGTGATCCTAGACAATTACTTAACTTCTTCAAGCCTCAGTTTCCTCATCTGTAAAATGGGGATAATATGAGGAGCTACATCATAGAGCAACTGATGATCAAACAATAGACTATATATATAGTGTTTTGTAAAACTTAAAGTGCAATATAAATAGTAGGTACTCTTTTTTTCTTTAGAGCCCCAGACAGTGCTACTGCTCTTAATACCTGTGTCATAAAAAAAAAATAAAAACTACATTTTTTGCCTGACTATGCCAGAAATACAGAATTCTAATCTTAGGGTTCTATTGAAAATGCTCTTTTCTTTTTATCATGCACATGACTCCTTTTCTCCCCACTCTCAATATTTTCAAATTGGGAGCAAAATTCACAAGTGTTCTCATTTGACTTGTCTTTGAAAAAAAAAAATTGAGAACTTCATCATGTTGAGAAAATGTTCCACTTTACATGTAGCTATATAATTCTTTTCTCACTAGCTTCCTAGCTTACATTTTAATTAAGCCCTGTTTACTTGAGAATAAGATAAAAACACTTATTACATGTTAAGGTAAACTACTTTGAAGATTTTTTTATTTTATTAAACTAAAATTAACTGACAGTGATTTTTAAGTGGGATTAATTTTAACAGAAAAACTCATCTCTAAATCTCCCTCACCTATAAAAGTTTTAAATGACTGAAATTACTGTCTTCAGTTACTGAATTTTTCAAGTAGTCTATAGGCAAACTCTCTTGGGTAAAAAGCATTTAATAACTTATAGTTATATTATCACAGTTATGGAAACTGGAATAAAGCCAAGGAAGTAATGAAAACCACAATCTAGAAGCCCTGAGAGATCCACAGACATGCAACTAGCTTTCAGTTCCTAAAACTCCATGTAATCAGGATGAAAAGGCAATACAAAATAACCTGCCTCTAAACCTTGGATGTGGAATAAAATAAATGTATTTATCAGTATCCCTGTAAGCAGATCAGCTTTTCCCTTGGAGAATTTAAGAAAATCAAAGACTATGCCTTTTCAAATGACATTTATTCTTCTAAATGAAAGAAAAGGAATTACACCTAACTAGAAAGTAAAATAGTAACTATCTTAGATCACTGAAAATCTTTACTTAATGCAAACACCAGAAATAATACTTAGTGAAGAAATGAATAACAAAAACAATAGCGGACGCCTCAAATGATTTTGAAAAGAGATGGGCAGACTTACACTAGAATTCTGAAAACTCCTGACCCCTTTTTGAGTTTGATGGCATGACCCTAAACATACCAAATATGACAAAACAGAGTAATATAAAAAAGTTGGCATTTGCTATAAAGATCATGCATCCACTGATTCTCTCACAACAGTTGACAAGAAGGGTAAAAACATGTCAGGACCTGTACATGTGACGACTATTGCCGTGGTAAGAATCATAGGAAGAAAAGTGGAGATTTCAAGGAATATGACTCGGGTGAGGCATCAAAGACCAACATGGAAAAATTGGCTTGGGAAAACTATTGAAGAGCTATGGAAAAACAAAAGTCAAAAGGATGAGTGGAAACATGGAGTTAAAGTAGCACAAAAGAAACAATTCAGTGTAAAACACTTTACTACAGAAGCTTAGGAAATAAAAGGAGAGAAGTTCAAAACACACACACACATACACACACACACCACACACACACACACACACAACACACACACACACAGAGGACCAAATGGGAAAGAGAAAGCCTGCCTACCATTAATCTGATAAACAAAACAACATCTATGTCAAGGGAGGTAATCAAAACTCTAGCTTCTCTGGGAAACTGGAAGTTGGCAGAATTTGAAAAGATCCAAAATTATTGCCTCAAATGCTTCAGAGTGCAATATGAATTACTAGCACAGCACTTTGTTGGTTTCTTGCCTCATAAGAGTCTGATCCCACTTTTTTTTTTAAGGCAGTTGGGGTTAAGTGACTTGCCCAGGGTCACACAGCTAGTAAGTGTCAAGTGTTTGGTCTGAGGCCGGATGTGAACTCAGGTACTCCTGACTTCAGGGCCGGTGCTCTATCCACTGCGCCAACTAACTGCCCCAAATAGATCTCCTCTTTTTTTTTTGATCCCACTTTTCTTAAAAGAATGTATCATACGCCTACCAAAAGGTAAAAAAAGTGTGACTCCTCCAAACATATGCCAATTTTGTGTTTATATGAATTATATGAAATGCACACAGCTTTACAAATCTGTACAAAGATTTTTAAAAACCTATAAGCTTGCAGGAAAATGATACATTAGTTAAGGAACAAAAAGATTGTGCCAGAAATTTTCAGGGGATGTAAAAGCAATTTATTTTTCATTCAGTAATTATTTAATAAGCCACTCAAAAATGTCATAACATCTATAGTGCCTTTTTTAATACAAATTATTTGACCCTAACTGTAATATAAAGTGGTAATCATCAGAACTATCTGGTACTGGCTGAGAAATAGTGGTGGATCAGTGAAATAGCTTAGGTACACAAGACACAGCAGAATGACCATAGTAATCTAATGTTTTATAAACCCAAAGACCCCAGCTTTGCTTTTGGGACAAGAACTCACTATTTGTCAAAAACTGTTAGGAAAACTGAAAAACAGTATAGCAATAACTAGGTATAGACCAACATCTTACATCATATAACAAGATAAGGTCAAAATGGGTACATTTTTTAGACATTAAGGGTGACACCATAAGTGAATGAGGAGAGCAAGGAATAGTTTACCTGTCAGATCTATGGAGAAGAGAAGAATTTATGACCAAACAAGGGACAGAAAGCATTAGTAGATGTAAAATGGGTAACTTTGATTCATTAAGTTAAAAAGATTTCGCACAAACAAAAGGAATGCAACCAAGATTAGCTGGATTTTTTTTTTACAGCAAGTATCTCTGATAAAGGTCTCATTTCTCAAATATATAGAATTAAGTCAAATTTATAAAAATGCAAGTCATTCTCCAATTGATAAATGGCCAAAGAATATGAACAGTTTTCAGATAAAGAAATCAAAGCTACCTATGGTTATGTGAAAAAATGCTCTAAATCACTATTGATTAGAGAAATGCAAATTAAAACAACTCTGAGGTACTACCTTACAACTATCAGATTGGCTGATATGACATAAAAGGAAAATGATAAATGTTGGAGGGGATGTGGGAAAATTGGAACGCTAATGCATTGTTGGTGGAGTTGTAAACTGATCCAACCATTCTGGAGAATAATTTGAAACTATGCCCAAAGGGTTATCAAATTGTGCATACCTTTTGATCCAGCAATACCACAACTATGTCTGTATCACAAAAAGATCATAAAAAAGGGAAAAGGACACACATGTACAAAAATATTTATAGTAGATCTTTTTGTGGCAAGAACTGGTAATTGAGGGAATGCCCATCAACTGGGGAATGACTGAACAAGTTGTGGTATATGGAAGTAATGGAATGCTATTATACTATAAGAAATGATGAATAGGCGGATTTCAGAAAAACCTGGAAAGACTTACATGAACTGATGCTGAGTAAAGTGAGCAGAACCAGGAGAACAGCAACTTGGCATGATAGGGCAAGGATGCAAGAGATTTGGGAGTAGATGATATTGTAAAGTTGGAAATTAATTCCAAGAACAGCAACATTGTGCAATGATCAACTTTGATAGACTTGGCTCTTCTTAGCAATCCAATTCAATCCAATGATCTAAGACAATTCCAAAAGACTCATGATGGAAAATGCCATCCACATCCAAAGAAAGAGCTATGGAGTCTGAATGAAGATCAAAGCATACTGTTCTCTCTCTTTTTTTTGTTTTTGTTTTTTCCTTAAGGCTTTTCTCTTTTGTTCTGATTCTTCTTTCACAACACGACTAATGTGGAAATATGTTTAATATGATTGTACACACATATCCTATTATCAGATTACTTGCCATCTCAGGGAAGGGGAAGGGGAGGGAGGCAGGTAGAAAAAAAATTGGAACTCAAAATCTTATAAAAGTGAATGTTGAAAACTATCTTTACATGTAATTGGAAGAAATTAAATATTATTTAGTGGGGAGGGGAAGAAAAAAAAGAAAGAAAAAGAAAAAAAGAGAGAACAAAAAAAAGATGGTGTTTTGAGACTCATATAGGATCAGCTCATCACTACCAGAAATTAGAGAGTATCCTTAAGGAGCTGGGACTTATTGACTCTTCCAGATTTTGCAATCAAGTTGTGAAAGTGTTGCAACACATCACCGCCGACTTGTAAAAATTTATCACGTACTGACGGCTAGAAGTATGCATCAGACAACAAATCTCCATACTACAAACTGGAAACTATCCTTGAAAATTCAGCAAATAAGCCACAATGGAAGTGAAGTCTTATTAGAGATAAAACTGTTGCCCATCTTAGAGTCCAACTCTCTGATTTTAAAAATAAAGAAACTGAAGCACAGAGAGTTAAGTAATTTGCTAAGGGACACACAGCTAGTAAGTGTCTAAGGGTAGGATGCAACCTTAGTTTTCATGACTATAGTAGTTTCCTAACCACAATACTATCCTCTTTCTCAATACAGTCATATTAAATACTTATCCTAAAACTCCATGAAATGAACAATTTTCAAGATATAGACACTGGGCTGAAGGTATTAAGATAAAGTGGGAACAAGATTCATCTTGTTCATGTCCTTGTCATTTGGTCTGATAGCGGAGTTGTCCTGCAGGTGCTTATAGTAATTCTACAGAAGATCAGCTACTATCTCAGTACTCTTAATTGTAAATTCAGTTATTTAATCCATTTGAACAATAGGCTGCAGAACTTTAAACATGCAAAAATGACTTGTTCAAGTTCACTTTAACCTCCTCAAAATTAATGAGAAGAAAACGGGAATAGCAGCATTCATTTATGGAGCATTTCAAGATCTGGAAAACATCTTACAAAAATGATTTCATTTGTCTCTCACAACAATCTGGCGAAGGAGACATTATTCTTATCCCCATTTTACAGAAGAGGAAAACTGAGGCTCAGAGACATTTATAGACACATACTACAAAATATTTTGAGACCTGATTCAAACCCAGCTCTTGCTGGCTCCAAGAGCAGCATTCTATTTCACCAAGTTGACTAAAAATATGGGTTAAAGTTAAAAGTTAAAAAAAATCTTTACCAATTAACAATTTATCAAGTATTTATATTAACAAATTAAATGAATCTATGGAAAATAAAGATTTTTAACCCCTAAACAAAAATAATCCATTACCAACAGAGACCATCCTCCTT